CACACCACACACACACACACACACACACACACACACACACACACACACACACACACACACACACACACACACACACACACCACACACACACACACACACACACACACACACACACACACACACACACACACACACACACACACACACACACACACACACACACACACACACCAGTTCTGTGATTATTTTTCGCACGTACCGGTTCTGTATATTTCATATTGTGTTAATATATTCTCGTCTTCAAATTGCAAAGACTATCAGCGGTGTGCGTTCTTATATGCCGTGGATAACCTGCTGGAGCTACTAACCTCCGGTCCCTCTGCTATTGGGTACTCATGAAGCGACTATGGTTTTAAGTACTATTGTCGTTAATCTGGATAACTTGCGCTGCTGTTTGCAGGCTTTGCTGCCAGTCGACTTTCATTGTTTAATATGTAAATAATGGAGGTGTCCCCGAAGCTCTAAAAGTGTGTTTTGTAATTTTTTTTGTAATTTTTAAAATTTGCGCCAGAATATTTTGTATTTTCGCATAAGTCGCATTCAGCCCGCAGGCCGGCATAGATGTCGGGACTTCTTTACCGCCGTGCCTTAGGGTCAGAGGCTAATTTTCTGTGCCAGGTAGATGGAGGAATATTTAAATATTCACACACTAGTGAATATTCAGTGTGAATTTGAATTGTCACGAAAATGCCTTCCTGTTTCATTTATATCTTCGTCAGCGTTTACGGAAGTATATTTTTTTAAATATTGCGACAGTCAGTGTGGTTCCCGCAATTATGTGCCCATTCATGAAAACTTTACTGAAACATTGAAACACCCAAGCCGACCCGACCCAATCCGACCCGACCCGAACCGACGGTCAAACCTTCTCCACGGCTCGTTGGCGTCGGCGGGTATTATCTGTCCTACCTGTCCTGGGCTGCCCGCTGGTTAAGCTGTCAGACTAACCACAGGTAGCTTCGGGTTAGGTAACCTAACCAAGCGTCGGATTTCAAGTCAAAGCCGACAGCCGGTAGCCGATAGCCGGCGAGAGGGTGGATAATGAGCCTCGGAAGCGGCTGGCTTTGCACGTGTGCGCCGCTCCAACGGGTAGGGCGGGAGGGAGACCAGGCGGCATGTTAGCACGCTGTCAGATAACTATCAGCAGCAAGGCATCCACGCTGTAAATAGAGCCCAGCATTTGCCGGACATCAAAACCTGACAATTGGGTGGGAAAACTGCGAAGGCCATTCGGTCGGCTACAGTCGGAGTATCTCTTTGGGTATCCTAAACGGTCATGAAATGCAGCCCATGTTGGATGCATAAAAAAACAGAAGAGGCCTTTTTAATGCATGCAGTTACCACACAAAATGAGTTTATTGACGGTTTTTTGACGAGATCATCTAATTGTGTCTCTCTGGATATCTTCACTACCGAACTCCTGCTAGCCGCATCTGAGTCGGGTGACTTAACTTGATGCGTTTAGTACAACTGTGAGTCGTTTCACGGCCTCTCGTCCTCCTCCTCCACTGGGGACAAACAAACAGCGAGAGAGAGAGAAAAAAAACAAGAGAGGAAGAGAGAGTGGAAGAGAGCGAAAGAAAGAAGAGAGAGAGAGGGAAAAGGAGACATACACACTCACACAGACACACCCACACCCACACCCACACCTACACCCACACACACCCATATATATATATATATATATATATATATATATATATATATATATATATATATATATATATGACAATCAACTCAGCGGTGTGTCAACACTCACCGCACTCAACAGTATGTGTGACACGCGACGCTCCTAAGAAAAATGTTTGCTGTCGGGAAGTCTACAGCCAACCAATAAGCTTTGGCATATTTTCTTCAAAGTTAATTTCAGGCAACTGCTGACATTGCAGGAGTGAACCACGTCGAGGGCGCTGAGGCATTGTTTACTTTGAACTACATGGGCAGTGAAAAGGGGGACTTTGTCCATTTTTACGTTGCCAAAGCAATGGCATACAACACAGCACACATAAGTAAATAATGCGCAATTTTCACCATCATATGGGCTCTTGCCATCTGGTGAGAAGGTGAGAGCTGCCGGTTTGGGTATTTCCCATCGCAACAGTTACCTGAAAGCTAACTTCAGTTTGAGTGTAGGTGGTCTAGCGTATTACTGGCATGCCGCCCGTGTTAAAGACAGTAGCTAATTTTCCTCACTTGTGCCTGAAAATGGGTAGGGAAAATGGGGTTAGGAGTGTACACTCCATTTTCAAAATACCCTGCTGCCCACATATTTATGTTGTATTAGCCTTAAATTATTCGCTTGATGTAAACAAACTAGCTCGCTGGGTATGTGACATAGCGAGCTGTCGTCAATTATGCAAAAACAAGGAAACATTCACATCTCTGTTTGCCATGAAAACAAAAGTGTCCATCATTTTGCTTCTGTTTATATCCCAGCTGCGCAAAATCACGTTGAAATATCATCGCCGGGAGCATGATTTTCGGTTCTCCGCAAAAAAATAACTGCATTGGTGTAAACTGCGGTAAATTATTTGGACATCCAGGCGGCACCTTGTCTCTTCAGCGCTTAACAGGCTATCGCACAAGGTGCCAATGCTGTCGCTCGTATGACACGCTGCCGTTTTCCGTCACCATTAGAGTAAATCCGAAAAAAGTTTAATGGGCACACTAACCCCCAGTTCAGACCTAAAACATAAGGCCTAGAGTCAACACCAGCTGTGGCTTCGCCACGCGACGGCGTCCCGTCTCAGGCTGGCTGCATCGGCTGGTTCTCGGCGGTGCGCATGTCGTAGCTGAAGGCGTAGTTGTAGGGGGGCAGCTCCTGATCGTACTGCTTGGGCGGCAGGCCGGACATGTTGCGGCGGCCCTGGGTGGTGCAGCCGACGACGCAAATGCCCACCACACACAGGCACATCAGCGCCAGCGTCAGGTAGACCGGCCAGTACCGATGTATCGATTGCACGTGCTGGAACAGGCCGGCGCGGATGAAGGTGACATTCGAGGGCGTCAAGAAGGATGAGGGAAAGCGTCTGCTGTGCTCGAATTCCCCCGCCGGCGCATTAGTGGTGGACACATCCTTGACGACGCGTTTGCGCTCCTGAATGATGACCACCTCTATTTGAGTCCCGCCGTCCCCGGAAGTCAACGTGCTGGAATCGTTGTGAGCTGTGCCGTTGCAGTTGGCTGTTTTGTTTCCCGGATTACGTATGGCGGTACCCACTGCTGGCATGGGTCCATTGCGGCCCGAGGCACCGGATGTGATGTTCACAATCATTGTCCCGGTCTCCCCGGGGACTTTCACTAACTTGCCATTGGTTCGTGCGTTGTAGTTCTCATGAGTTGGCGATCCGACTTTTTGCAGTTGAACGACGTTGTTTGGCTTCAACACAGGAGTCTCATTCAAAGGCTTATTCGTTCTTGGAACAGGAACCGATACGTACCTTAACGGCTTGGCCGAGTTGTCAGGGAATGAATTATTTCTGTGACTGACTTGGGCGACTCTCAACCTTGGCCTACCGAACACGTCTGTGTTGCCTGCATTCTTGTTGACTAGCTCTTGAAGACCAAACGATTCAGATAATCCGCCGGCAGAAGTGAAGTGAGTTGCTCTGTTTCCAGAAAATACAGCCTTTGGGTTAGATGTGCTTCTGCGAATACCTGCACTGGGGACTGATGAGGTTTGTGATTGAATATCATGTGATGCGCATGCACAAGCAAAAATAAACGTGATGGCTACAATATTCATGGCGCAAGTATTGATCGCCATCATTTATTTTCTTTTGAGTTCGAAACGATTGATAAGCTAAATGATAATCAAAATCAGAAACGTGGCGATAACAAAATTAAACAGAATGAACAGAGTAACAACTAACAAAATCTGAAAAGCAGCTCAGTCATATTAGTATGTTGGTTGCGAAAAAAAATTTTTGCTCGTGCATTGCCATTCGGGGAGCCTCAACCCTGGAGTTATCCACACGACGTAAAAATGCATGTGTTTTGCTTCCGTAAAACCAGCAGAAGATTTCAATTTTAAGTGTTTTTAAACCCCAACATATCACGAGTACCGAAAATACGATGTCTCGTGTAAATTGTCCTTCATCGTGACGCAATGGTCTGAAACGCTGAAACATCGAGCATGAACTCTCCGCCTGTTAGCTGGTGGTGTTAAAACAGAACCCATGTGGAATTATTGCGGCGTAAAGAGGAACCTTCTGACAACAACAAAAAATAGTGAACCAAATAAGGCAGAAAGTAAGCTGCAGCTCTCTACGCTTACAACGCGCAGAATAGCATAGAAGGCTTCATTGAAATTTATTTTCATATCTCTCTCTGCTTCCACATAGACGGCAAGTTTAGCAGTGCTAGTCGTATGTGACTATCGTAACATTTAGCTGGCGCAGTTATCCACGAATTTGTGCATCTGTTCCCCGCATGAGCAAAGCAGCACCTCAATGAATCACACTGACTTAAGACGTAAGGCGAGTAAGGGGCGTAAGGCGCGTAAGGCGAGCAAACCTTATCGCTGCGAAGAATTGAAACGGACGTCCGATTTATTTTTGCACATGATCATGCGTTTATCCATGAGCGTTTTACAGTAGATTCCTTCATTACAAGACGATAACCATTACAAAACTCCATGCAACCTCGCTCATGACATGACCTACGCCATCATGATTGGTGCTGCTGGCTTAAGCTATCACTGGATTTTTTGTAATTTGGTGTGAAAACCTGATACGAAAATCTTCTCAATAGTTTTACCATGATTTTCATTTGCAAATTGCCCTGTTTATTGCTTACGATAGCAAGGTACTTTTTATTTATAAAAGCGCCGGGGAAGTGAAATCTTATATTGCAGCAATGGCTTTGGGTCATTTTTTGTCTTCGCGATTGCGGAATATTCAGCGACCATGTTGCTATCCCGTTGTTGATCATGTTGTAGGCTGCTAACGCAAGAACTCTCCCAGTCTGCGTCCGATTTTGGATAGAAGTCAACTATCCACAAAGAACCCAACGCATATATTGCACTAAAACATCTAATCAAACAGCGCGCGCCAACCGTCGCTCCCCACCGGTACAACGTGCGGCCTGTGACGGGTACATCGTGCAAAGCGTGCCCTTGCAGTGACATCACACCACCTCCCGCGGCGCCGCTGCGGCCGTGTGACTAGGCGTGACTCAGCTTGCGCGCTCGCACGCGCTCCACCTCCTGCCGCTCCCAGTCGGAGAACTGCAGCACGGCCGAGATGGCGCGCATGTGGCCGGCGTACTCCTCCCGGTCGGTCAGGTAGTGGAACACGGCCGACTTGAGGAACTGCAGCCGCATCGGCGGGTCCATCTCGCGCGACGCTGGGTCGGAGCTCAGCCGGGAGTCCTCCAGCACTGCCAGCTGCTGACAGTACAGGCTCTGCGGGGCAGGGAGCAGACCACCGGCGTCGGCAACTCAAGCAGAGATGTCCCACGTGCTGGCGGCACGAGCTCCGCAGAACTGGGAGCTGGTCGGCAGCTCCAGCACCTAGCTAAAGGGAGTGCGCCTCGCAGTGCAGGAAACCGATGGCGCAGACCCTGAAACTTGACGAGAAAGACCCGGCTGCTGGTAGCACAGACTCTGCATGGCGGAGAGCAGCCGTTCGGCATCGGCAGCTTCAGAACCTAACGGCAGGCAGCACAGGCTCTGCAGTCAGAAAGGGTGCGCAACGGCGTCTGTGCTCGAGGTCCCAGCTGCTGTTGCCGTTACCGCTACTGCTACTACTGGCGGTACAGGCTGTGCGAGGCCAGGAACAGACAGTGCGACAACGCCAGCTCGGGAGTCTCCCATTGCTTAAAGTACAGGCTCTGTGTGGCGGGTAGCAGATGGTGCAGCATCTGCAACTCAAGAGGTACTCTGCCGTCAGCGTACGCCGCGCAGGACAAGGTACGCACAGTAAAGCCTTTCTAAATTAAGGACCTAGCTGCTGTCCGTACAGGGTCTGCAGAAGAGAGAGAGAGAGAGAGCGGGCGGTACAGCGCTGTCAACTCAGGCACCCGGCCGCTGGCAGTACAGCCTTCGCAAGGCAGGCAGCAAGCGCTGCAACATCTGTAACCCAAGGAGAAAGACCTAGCTGCTTGCAGTACGAGCTGCGAAAAGCTGGGTAGCAAGCGGCGCAGTATATGATATCAGAAACAGAATGACTCAGGAGATACGGAAGACTCATTGGACATGGAAGAGTCTAATGGATCTTGAATGCCCAGAGATTCTCCGGCAAAGATTCCCTGGATTTTAGAAAACCCCTCAACAAAGCATATAAATAACCTTGAGTCCTCAAGTTCTGAAGCACATTTGAAATGAGCTGCCTGAACCGAATGCACATCCGAGCTGCCTGAACCGCTTGACACCAGGCTGGCACGTGGCACAGAAACCGCGATTTGAAAATTGCATCAAGCTCAAAGGATCACATTTGGAAGATGGAAGATAACTGGCATCTATCGCATACATCGATTAGTTTCGAATAGACATACAAATACACAGAGGTCGTGATGGAAATGGAGGGCTCTCCCTCACACAAACACCCCGGCCCGGCGGCTCACCCTAACGCGGTCCAACTCGCGCTCCGTCAGCTCCAGCCTCTGCGTCAGTGCTGCCATCTGTGCAGGGTCCCCGCCGGCTAGTTGAGACGCCTCCGTCAGTGACGTCACCGGCGTTAGCTGCTGCACAATCGGTGATTGCGCTACTGCCTGCCTGGGACAGCTCCTGCAGAGTCTCTGCGCGCGCTGCCACTTGAACAGGATCATTGGTGGCCAGCTGTTGCAGGGTCGGTGACTGTGCTGCCACCTGAGTCGGCTGTTGTCGGATAGCTAACTCTGCAGCCGCCGGAACAGGATCCCCGACAGCTAGCTCTGCCGTCGTCTGCGACTGTGCTGCCACCTGGACGGACTGTTGCGGCGTCTGCGACTGTGCTGGCACCTGGACGGACTGCTGCGGTGTCTGCGACTGTGCTGACATTTGGGCGGGCTGCTGCGGTGTCTGCGACTGTGCCGCCACCAGAATCGGCGCAGCAGAGGTTTGCGTGGCGCCATCGCGCGCGTCGCGTCGCTCGGCGCGAACACGCGTCGTCTCCAGCTGTAACTCCAGCTGGCCCACTCGCAGTCGGCTGGCGTCGTACAGAGGCCGCAGCTCGAAGTACCTGGTGCAGTGTCCACAGTCAACGAAGGAGGCCTGGGATTGCCGCGGGCGCAAAAGCGTCGACTGGCTGGTTTACAAAATAGTAGCGCATTGCTGAACTGAATCGCTATGCAGCAAATGAGACAAGAGTGACGAGCTTTAGCCAGCCTTCGAGCAATACTCGATGGACATGATGGTTTACAGGAAGTTTAAATGTAAGGGGACTAAGTGCCTTCGTTTCTCTAGCAATCAAAAGCCTAAAGTAGCACGCGGCAAGTGAGTCATGTCACGGAGATAATGCCATTACCCCGAGTTGAAAAAATATAAATGAGTTTCTTAACACTTAATTTCACAGGCCTTCCGAAATCTCGAAATATATATGGGCACAACACTCGCACTCAGGCTTGCTTAGCAAAAAACAACGACAGAGTAGACCAGTCTTGACTGCAACGATAAGTCGAAGACCAAATTCATGGAAGGACTTAGCGACAACCACCTGCTTAGGTGATTTGACCACCCTTATTCAGTTCACCTGCTGTTTGCCTCTGTGAGTTTCTGTAGCAGTCCCTCCACCTTGTCGTTGTACTTCTCCTTCATCTCCTGGTACTCGGAGGCGTGCTGTCGATTGAGCTCAGTAATGCGCCGCTCGCTCTCCTCGCGCAGACGCTTCTCCTCCCACTCGATCCAGTGCTCCGTCTCCTCCCAGTCATCGCCAAGGCGCTGCTCCAGCTCCATGCCCGCCATCTTATCGCCCGACTCCTTGGAGCTCACGCTCGGCGACGTCAGGCAGTCAAAGTTACCTGAGTCGCACACAGATGGCAGCAGCGTCGGCTTGTCCGTTGTGCTCATCTCTGGTTCATCTGCCGTAGGTGCGGGGCAGGCGCTCTTTGACGTAGGCGAAGGCACCTCAGTAGCATCGAATGAGCTCCCATGCTCCACGCAATCGGCCTCATCTCGGTGACCATTCAGGTCACTGACCCGGTCGATAGCCCCGAGGTCAGCAGGAGCGTCAGTGGCGTCATGAGACGACGTTCCGCGTAGCCTTAGAAAGACAATCTCCTGCTTCAGCCGGTTCACTTCGGCATCTCTCTCCCGGATGGTGTCATGAGCCTTGTCCAGCAACGCCTGAGGAAAACAAAGAGCAAATGGAAAGCGTCCAACGCGGTTATGGTTGCAGTATTCATGTTATAAGACAAAACTGTGCTCCCATTACAAACGGCTTGAACAAATTCTTCCGTTAATTTTCGTCCACAGATGACGTTGAATGTATGATAAATACTGTCATACTGATCCGTAGTTTCATACCGTTGGAAGCAGAGGGATAGGAGGGAATGGTTGCACCCTATTTCTCCCAGCCCGGCCTGCGGAACAGGTGTGGTCATGGAGCGCCAACTCATCCGCCCTGAACTGATCTAATAAGGTAACCGCCACAATCTGCATTTACACAGTTTGCTTTTCGCTAAAGATGAGTATGTTGTGCCATGCCGTGGGCAGCGCACGCGTTGCGACCGCGTTGGGAGTTGACTATGCGAACACACATCATGAGTTAGGCGTGCTTATTCTGATAATAATCGATCGGCAGCATACTAGGAGGTACTAGTTACGCGACGTTAGAAAGCACACATTGGCTGTGCTCTGGGTGCGGGTGTCATGAGTCCAACGTAAAGTCATCTATGAGGCTCGGCTTAAGGTTATCGTGACAATGAGCACAGATTAAAACATCGAGCATCTCAACTTAGCAAACGCTTGCTTGTTGATGTTTAATCAGTCTCTTTGCTCCTGCGTGGTAAGACCGTGGCTCATGGCAGGGCGTTTACGGTTCAAACCTACGAGACCCAGTGCAGTAACCCGTGGTCCGTTATCGACGACACAGGGGTTTCTCTCATTCACGATTAGATAGTGGTACTGACTATGTAAATGACATGCTATGGCCGAACACAGCGCAGATGCCACTAGTAGGAGGTATGAAATGCACGTTTGACACTTAACTAGTACGTGTATCATACCGTACATCGTTGACTGCAGTGGCAACCTCCAGGAAATATAATAAACAAGCCGCAAAGTTCACTATATTTGAGCGTAACTGCGTTGCTATGCACTTTTGTGCTGCTATCGATAAATGGCACATGTGCTTGTGCGGTGAGGACCTCATTGTGACCAAGAGAAGCGGTAAAAGCCTGTCCAACTTTGGAAAACGTGGAAATATTGAACGATACGGAAACTTCGTAACATTCAAGGTTTTGTGAAAAAACGACAGTAAGCTTCATTCAGGTCGCTTTCGTTGCATATGACACATTTTTTTCAGCTATGCGCAGACGTTACGGGTCTGTTTGACACCGTTTTGTGGCAGTGCATGCATTTGTCTCATCTAGCATCTATGCTTTTTCGCTGTCGACAAACAATCTGGGGTCATGAGAGCCCGTAAGGCGTCGGAGGAGGGGAATTACCTGATTTTTGATAGTTTGCAAAGGCTCGAAATAATTAACAAGGTTCAAACTTCCATTCTTTACTGCGAACTCTGTCACTGCGTCGGCACATTATCTCAGCATCAGCATCATCTCTCTGTGCTTGTTCCTGACCAGTTAAAAAACTGCATTCTGGTCAGCAGCCCCGCACATCCCCAAGCCGCAGTAGCTGCATGGCTCTACTCTAGCCAGCCACCTGGACGCCAGCTGCCGTCGTGTGTATGCCTGCAACAGAGCTCGCCGACCACGCTCGCGGTTTTTGCCGGCTGCTAGCTTTCACCGGCACACCGGCCGGTCGGCCGGCTCAGCTGACTGGCGGAGCCGCAGCGATCAGCTGACTGTGCACCAGCTGAGCAGCGCTGTAGACCAGCAGTTTCTGAGCCGGCAGGGTCGTGAGCAACATTTTCGCATGGCTTTTCCGTGCCCAGTTACCATACAGCCGAAAACAGTAGGGAGACACACCGCAGAACCGACTGCGTGGTTTTCAGTAAGCCACGCGCGACTAGGGAGAGCTTTGCATCTCCTGACTGTGCTTTGCAGCCGAGCCCCTGCTGCACGTCTTGCCTGGCACCGGCATTTTATAAACAGCCTGACTTCGCCTCGATAACGCTGACATCACCGGCCGCAGTTCCAAGAGAGGTGACCACGCCAGCTTGTTCTGTTCCGCGCCGGGTCGCCGAACGTGCCTTCTCGGCCCGGGCCGGCACCCTCTCGGGCGCGGCGGGCGTGCCAGGGTTGCCGAGTGGCCCGGCTCTGGCCCACGCACCGGACGTGGCGCGCATTGTTTACAGCGGCGGGCCAGGGGGTGTGCGGATGTGCGCACATGCCGACTTTGCTCAGGCGTTCCTCGGGCGTCACCAGGGCGTTATGCCAGCGGGTATCCTTCTGTCGTCCTGCTCTTAGACAGGACGGAATCTGAAGCTTGTCGCTGGGGACTGGTAGAGTTACCAGTCGGTTCTGATAGGACACTGTCGGAGTGCGCCGGAATTATCGTGCATCTACGTGGCCTGGCCGTAGTGCCGCTGAAAACCCGATATGTACAGTCCACCAAAAAAGGCCAAGCGCAAATACACGTGGCAGTACTGGTATTGAGCAACGGTGGGCGTGGAACAAACCAAGTGACCAATACCTTGAGGCCCTAATCTTTACTCAACACGGACTATCGCGTCGTGTCGGGTGGCTAGTATCAACGTAAACAGTCTAATCCGCAAACATCTGATACTTTGATTTCGATAGATGCTTAGCAGCCGCATCCAATCCCCTCGGACCTGCCAGACCGAAGGATATTCTGAGACCACCACGCAGGGCCCGGCAGTGCGGGCCCCGCGGCAATGCAATTTCAGTACCCTATTTGACGTTGCACGATGGTCTTGTGTTTTGTCTCGCCATACTAGCACGCATCAGCGCACGTGCACTGCGCCGTCACGGGGCCCTGGCTGGCCCTCCCTCGAGGCGAGTACGTACCCGGAGCCGCTTGAGGTCGCGCGTGGTGCGCTGCGTCGGCGTCAGGTAGTGCTCGTCGTCCACCCTCTTGGCGCAGTGCACCACGTACTTGTTGCAGCGGGATGAGAAGGTGGTGCCGTTCCGGGCGATGCCTTCCGTGCTGAACGGGGACTCCTGCAGGGTTCAGAGGCACGTCACCATCAAGACGTAATAAGGATATGAACTTTGGTTATTTTGAGCCCAAATTACGCTGTCAACACCTTGCAACAGCACTACGCCTGTTCCTGCAGTTACGACCGCCGTCTTAATGATAACCACCGTGCGTACCTCTACTCATACGAATACAACCACGTTTGTGATTGTCCCAGCGGGAAAGGGCCTGTTGCCGAGAAATTGGTTGGTTGAAATTCAGACCAGTGTGTCACGTGGGTCATGTAATGCTCTGATTCCCAACGTCAGAGTGCGTCTTGAAAAGAACCACTATGGTAAACGTCATAGGGGAGAAATAAAAGCCATATTATAACGCGTCATGGAATTCACGGGATGGAAGCTTCATGTTTGCATATCTTTTTTGTCTGAACAGGGTGTCTCAACCTTTCGTAGCATCTCATAGATGAACGTTTTGATACATTAGTGTGTTGCAAACACTACAAAACATACACGTTGAAAAAGGCAAGGCGAATGGAATGTTTTACTGCCATAGGGGTGAGCAGGGATTCAAATGAGATTTCTCCGGCAGGGGGTCAAATGAGATTTCTCCCGCAAGGTAGTCTACTTCATGTCGAAATTATGACGCATTCGGAAGAATTTTGAGAAAACTAGTATTACTGAATAAGCCGCATGCGTATGATGTGGCAATAAGTGAAAAGTACAAAAAGGCGGGATACTCCTTTAAACAGCGCGTATTTTGTGGGCGTTATGCAGCACCCATTGACCGAAAAGCCCCATTGCGACCCGTTCTCTCCTGTCCTGACCGGCGCTTGACAGCTTTGGCGTAATCGATAAAACTGGCAGGTGACGGTGAATATGGCAGCCTTTGGGGCACCACACGGGTCTGCCCCTGCAGCCCGCCTTGCGTGCTGCACAGAGCCGTCGTAGGGCTTCGAACCAAGTTGGCTTCTTCGAGGTCAGCGCAGGGTAAAGACCGGAGCGCCACGGACGGCGTCGGCGGCATCCGCCACACCCTTCTGAGCCATGCCCTCGCCCTTGTGACGCCTCGTCGCGCTGGTGTGCGGCAGTGAGCTCCGGTCGCGGCGGCGCGCCACACTCGCCACGTCACGGTCACCGCGCCAGTCGTCCCCGTTGCGGTCCAGCGGCCTGGGCTCGGATCGTGCCACCCACGGGCAGGGCGTGGACCAGAGGTACGGGATTGTCTTAGAACCTGGCAGCAGCAGCGCACAGACCTTAATCGAGGTGTGCGGGTGCCGGCCTGGAGATGGCAAAGTTTGCTGGTAGCGGGGACTGACATCAGCTCTCATTGTATGCCAGGCATGTGCACATCCACTGATTTCGGGAAGGTCCAATTCAGGCACTGTCGCAGTGCCGCCGGTGCGGATTTAGTGCTGCATGCGGGGTACTGTGGCACCCGAATTCTGCATCTCTAGTCTGCATTCCCTTTCTTCGCCACGGCCACGGCAGGCTCTACGTCCGGCCGGTGCGGTGGTCACGAGCTCGCCACAGCGGCAATAATAACGCACGACTGGCGGCCCCCGGGTTTGTTTTTGTTTCAGTTCGCTGTTTGGGCCGACTGAGGTGGAGTGTTGCCAGTTGGCCGCTACTTCACGGACAACAGCAGTTTAGTTTCCTATTCAATTGGGGGAGGGGGATTACAGCCCACAACTTGTGTTGTACCCCCCCCCCCCTCCCCCTGTCCAACTTTATGGAAAATGACCCAACTCCGTGGAGAAACTTGCTTTGACCATTTTGGAAGCAGGTTCCGTCATTTTTCACTGGTCAGCGCCCCTTCTCCTCAAAACAACATAGATGCCAAGCTTCATCCCTGAGTAACAGCCATGTCGCACAGGCTGACTGCCGTTTGCTATCGATAGCGGTGGTTGACAGAGATTGCTGTCTCTCTGAGAAGCGCTGAGATATTCTGAATAAACTGTTCCTTTCAATGTGGGAAACGAAGAAATATACCACACGACTACCGCCCGGGGAGGGCACGCCCCGGACTGGGAGGCTTATGGCTTCCTGTGGAGAAACCCGGTACCTGGGATTCCCCGCGGGAAAACGACGAAAAGATCCCAGCAGCCCGACCGCATCACTCGCCTGGTGCCAGCGCGGCGAGGGGTGCAGCCGGCGCTCTCCTGTGGCCGACTCCGTGAGAGACGGCTCTGGGCAGCTGTGGCGTCGCCTGGCCATGACCGAGCCAGAGCAGCCGCGGGTCGGCTGCCCGTCTCGGGGCGCGCAGACCCCCGAGCGGCCGACCGCGGCGGGGGCGGCCGGCCGTCCGGGCAGCCCACCGCCGCACGCAAATAGCGCCCGCGGCGAGGCGCGCGTGTAATGCATGCCGCGTGACGGCCGCCACGTGTATCGGCCGTCACGTGTGACGGCCGCGACACGAAACGGAGCGCGACGCGGGCGGGGCGCCAGGGCCGGCCGACAGCGGCGACATCCGAGCGCATGTGCGCACCTCTGCTGTACATAGGGCGCCCGGACGGCGGCCAGACCTCATTACCGGACTGTCGGGCGGGCGGCAGCCGGTGCAGTGCCTGATATACGCGCCGTTTGCTCTGGCTTTGCGGTCGGCGGCCCACTGATAACGTGCGTGTGAGTCACGGGACGCCGCGTAGACGGTGCGGGCAGAGGGGAATGTGCTGATGTCACTGAGCGGAATGCTTTTTGTGCTGAAAGAGAAAGGCTGCACACGCACGCTCACATGAATGTTGCTTAAATTAGCACTTAAAGTACCGGGTATGCCACTTCGGGCTGTGCTCGCTTTCGTCATGACGCCGTTCTTTCCTCGCCTAGTCACATTTGGAACCAGCTCACCAAGGGACGGGGCCGCTCTACACGCGCACAACCACACTACTAATTCACACCCGTTCACTCGACTGCGCGACGCGGCTCGCGCCGACCGGTTTGGGCATGTACAGCTGGCGTGTATGATCCGCCTGGCAGCGATCGCCCGGGCCGCCAGCACTTGGCGGCCGCGCCAGCTGATGCTCACGCTGAGCTAATGGAGCCGTCCCGGAACACGTGCCCGGGCAGCCGCAAAACAGCGCAAACTCATCGCTCGGATTGGCTCCGACAAGACAACGGATGGACCCATAATCCTTGGCTGGGGCTGCACCGACCACGTGCATGAAAAAGACCAAGAATTGATATTTTTAGAGCAGCATCAGTGATGGCGTGGATAAGTGTCAATGAAGAAAACTGAAAAAGTCCCACCAAAGCGATATTTGTAGAACAACATCAGTGGCAGCGTGGATCAGTGTCAAACGAAAGTCAAAACACCTGGCGGTGCGAGGTGTGACATGTCCGTCACAGCTGGCGGGGCGGTGACGTTAGCTTGCGATTGTGACGAGGAGGGGCAGCGCCTATAACAGACGCTGAAGGGACTCGCCGACGTCTGGCGCTGTCGGCAAGTCCTACGTAAGACTTAATGAGGGAATGCCACCTTTTGTACTTCCCAATTATTGTTAGATCAGACGCGCACGACTTGACCAACATTGTCAGTTTTCTGGAAATTCTTCTGCACAACTCAGAATTGCGATTTGAAGCAGCCGAGCCTGCGGGAGAAATCTCATTCGACTCCCTGCTCACCACTATGAAAGTAATACATTTGATTCGCCTGACTTTTTCAAAGGAGTATTCTGCACTACTTACCGCGCACCTGTTGGTCAAAATGGTCGTGCAATACATGCTACGAAAGCTTGAAACCTCTGTTTAGATAAAAGATAAGCTAGTTTGGCTTTGGTGATGGGAGTATCATATGATCCGTGCGATGCACTGGTTCAAACTTCAACCAACCAACTTCTCGGCAAGAGGCCCTTGCCACTCGCTGGTCCAATCACAAACTTTTTTATTTGCAACAACAAAGGTGCCCCAGCGGTTACCGTGATGACGACGGTCGTGACTGTGGTTAAGAAGCGTTGTGCTGAAACAAAGTGCTCACCGTATTTTTTAACTCAAAAATAATTAAAATTGATGTTTTTGATGTCTTGACGGCGCCGCAGCGCCAGTGTCAGTGTTATAACTAGACGTAACTGGTTCTAAGATTTCAATAGAAGATACTTTCCGAAATGTGCCCCAAAGGTGGAACACTCCCTAAGAGCCGTTAATACGCTGGAGATGCTTCCTTTGGCTTCCTCACTGGGCATTGACTGGATGCCTTGTACTCCGCGCTGGGGCCCACACACCAAGCGTCGTCGCACTTCGTCAGTCAGGTCACATCTTTTCATGGGACGGCTAAAATGTCTGAAAACCAAACAACGCTATGCACCACGTCTTGCGTCTCACATAGCAACCTGCCAGCCTGTGCCCTGCCCGAGCGCCGGACTCACCGCGCCCAGCAGCGACCGCGTCTCCCACGAGCTGTCAGCCGTGGAGCTTCTGCGACTCAGGGCCGGGCTCGGCGGCAGCGAGCAGGCCCCGCGCCCCGCCGGCTCCGGCGTGCTGGCCGCGCTCCGGAACGACCGTGCACGCCGTGGCCGCAGCTGTGGGTCACAGGGCGGCGGCGCCGGGTGAGCATCAGACACCATCTGGTCCACGCGGGCGGCGGAACGACAGACAGCGGTGGTGGCGCGTGGACGCGCGCGCACCGTGGCCGCAGCTGTGGGTCACAGGGCGGCGGCACCAGGTGAGCATCAGACACCATCTGGTCAACGCGGGCGGCGGCACGACAGACAGCAGCGTCGGCGCGTGGACGAGCGCGCGCCGTGGCCGCGTTACGACGCGCGATTTCATTACAGACACGTCGTTCCCGTGTCCCGGCTGGAGCGCGCGGCAGGGGCAGCTGACGCCGGCGATGTCGTGCCGGTGAAACTGTGGCCGGCACGAGCGCGGGCGGCGCGGCATGCTACCGAACCGCGGGCCACGGCACCGCCGTCACGCCGCTGTGACGTCTGGCAGCGCCGGATCGGTCACTGACGAGCCGCGAGGGGACACATGACACCGTCGGCACCACATAGCTGGCACCGACTGCCGGCGCGTGGCGGACGGAGCGAGGGGAACACGGGGTCAGCGCTTCCGGGTTGGCATGGTGATGACGGCGCCTGGGCTGCGGGGACGCTGTGACCTCCTGATGGTGGCCACATAGCGACCGATGGCTTCGGGAACATTCAACGAGATAGACCTACGATGATCGATGTGAGGGGCTAATGCAAGCATCCGGGGCCGCTTTGTCGGCGAGGCTTACAATGCCCGGGTGCTGACAAAGATCTCTGAAATTATCGCATTGTTCATCTGTTTACACGCAGCCGAGCGGGAACGGACGAAGGGGAGCAAAGTGCGCAGACAGTGGAGCATTGCTAGAATGCGGAGAATGCGGACGAGTCAGTATCCTCGCCAATTATCATTCAAATAAGTAAAAGTAGTTCACATGCTTGAGAGAACGTTGTGAGCTCATAGTGGGCCAGACCTCTTTTGCGCTTGCTTTAAAAGAAATCCCTATATTTGTTTGTACCTTTCACTAATGGTAAGACCAGATGCGTCCGAATTGATAGGTAATATCAGTTTTTTCGAAATCCCTCTGAAAAGCTAAGAATTTGAGTTCAAAGTAACCGCTCCTGCGGTAGAAATCTGATTCGATTCCCCGCTCACCACTATTAATATGATAAAGTAATTCCGTGATTTGCCTGGCCTTTACCAACGTGTGTTTTCTGTGATGTTTGCCATACACTTCCATTACAGCGTAGTTTGGACTCGAAAATAATCACATCCATATCCTCATTACAGCTTGATGGTGCTGCACTGCTACTGTCCATTACTATTGTTAGACTAAATTATCCCGAGGTTTCACCAGCACATGCTTTTCACATATGCCCCAAAGGTTGGACGCTCCCTTTAAACTGTCCATCGCTGACTCAACATTCGGACTGCGTATATGCGTGTTCCTGGTGCTGTCGGCTAATGTTGTAAAAAGTATGACTACAAAAAATGTAGACTATGTAAATGTGTCTGACAAGTACATTTTTGTGAAATGTTTGAAGCATTCTGATCATTCCTCGCGACTGCTTTGAAGCCGGGCCCTAAAACTACCAGGAAGTGAACATCTCCACGATGGTAAATAAAGCCACAGATGCAAAAGGGTGTGTACCCGTACTGCAAATGCAAAGGCTTCAGTGGACCGCCGACCAGGCGACGTCGAAAGCTCCCGTGTCGGTGAATCAAGGGCTCAGAGGCACGCCATAGAGCCGATAATGGATTCCGAACGCCCCGCAAAGTGTGAACATCTGAACACAGCACATATGTCTTGCATTACCGATGACATCAAAAAGTTCAACAACACAAGCCAAAATACACAGAGTACCCACATGCCAACATACTCAAGCGCAGCACTGGACCTCTTTCAAGAGCAGTCATATTCGAAACACAAAACAGCACAAACCACTGGCCAAACTCAGCTTCCACCCTGAACGCACTTCACCAGCGCCTCACCGAGTCAGCTGTTTTCTCCCTTCTGGGTGATGGTGTTCCAGTAGGCACAGCCTCCCCTCGAAGCCGCAATGACCCGCTTCGTCGTAGCGACTTTTGAAACTCGGCGGTATTGGTTGCACCTATGTCCGACATACCGCTCCGTGGTCGGCAGGCCCTCGCGGTCGGCGGCGTCTGCTCGTCCTTGCCTGCCATTGGTGCAGTGCGCTGTGAAGAGAGCGAACGTCATTCACCGCAAGCAGCACGTGGAATTGGGGAGAATGGGTGACATTGGCTGAGTTGTGAGATCGACTGAAAATTATTTGGAAAAAATCGTCAAGATCACAATCTGGCGCTATAAGATGATGCAAATTAAGCGGCGTGCTTGCAACCGATGAGCCTGAAATAAAAACACCATACATTTCTCTCCTAACCGCAAGAACTGCGACTGAACGCTGGGTGCTCGTGAATGTATCGGCTCAACGCTCATTAGTGAGAACAAAGGTCATGAGAAGCAAGCGCACTTCGGGAAAATGTACGCAATCTTGTTCAGACAATATAGTAATTTGGCCAGCGACTGTCAAATAAGGACTGAAAACAAGCATCTCTTGATCTCGTAGAAGATAGCTTTTGAGCTGCTAACCCTTGTCCACAATACTATTGGGGAGCTGCGACTCCCTGATTTTGACAGTCTGAACACAAAAGGTGGGACTCCAAGGTAATTTCAGATAAATGGCAGCAGTACTCATCAGTACAGGCTTGCGCGCTTGTATGCGAGTTTGGGGACAGCAATCCGAAGCCCTATGCCTCATTATTTTAGTAACCTAATGCAGGGACTGGCTTAACCTCGTACTAATGACTGTTGGCTAAATAATCGTAGCATATGAGCTCGTATTTTACTATGCACGCTTGAGTCATTCCATTACCAAATGCTATGTTGTGTCACCTTTACATATCATACTTGCCGAACCCAAATGGCCAGCGCCAGCCATACTTGTTACAACCTAATCAGTGCATAAAATACAGTTTCTCATGCAGAGAATATTGGCCAGGTCATCACGGATCATTTTTGGCATGTGCTGGGCAAGAGTTGGACTACTTGCATCACTCATTTCTAAAACAAGTACAATTCAAATGGCATGGTTTGAATGTATTAATGAAAATATGATGCCGGCATGGACTGACGGCATTTTTCCTCGACCTAAGGCTATTTCATATTATAGGCGAATAAAAAGCCAAGTATGAACAGATATGCATGTAAACATACACACACACACACACACACACACACACACACACACACACACACACACACACACACACACACACACACACACACACACACACACACACACACACACACACACACACACACACACACACACACACACACACACACACACACACACACACACACACACACACATATATATACACATACACATACACATATACATACGCATACACACACATACACACACATACACATACACATACACACACATACACATACACATACACATACACATACACACACACATATATATATATATATATATATATATATATATATATATATATATGGCATGTATCGTCTTATCTATCTGTATCTATACCTGTAGGTTAGGTCAGGTCACACGTTGGGCCAAGTTAAAGGTGACACCAACAGCTACGCACGTTCTTCTGGCAGCGAATATTTCGCCTTGATATCCACTAAGTCCCGATAGCGTCGTTTGCAGCTGTGGTTCGTATTCAAGTGGATGCTCTCTCGCGGAGACAAGGCAGCACGGGAGTGCCTCTTGACAAGTTATCTGTATACGGGCCATGGGAGAGGCTGACCCAGTTCTAAACGCTCAGAATTTGTAAGATGATGCTGATTGGGTTCCGGCATGGAGCATTACACATGCATGGAATTTTAAGAAGAATTGATGTGTGCTGCAATAGAAAAGCACAATTACAGGTATCACGCGATGCGACCAATATGCATGACTATATCAAAATGACGGAAAGGTTACAAAAACACGCCACTGCCGGGAGAGAAGCGCATGCAGTTGGTTATCCCTACTACGAACTTCCAAGACTGACACAAGGCACAAGACAGCTGAGTAGTCATCCAAGCATGAACTATTACCGCGACGCCGGTGCGCCTCCGACTGCAGCCTATCGGCCATCGACAACCTCGAAACCCCTGTCCTACCTCTTGGACCATATCAAGTGTTTCGACGCGATCGATCTTATAGATTGGGCTCTAAACATGAGCTTTACGGAGCAGGAGCATCCTAGCTTCCTCCACGTCTCAGCGTCCACATCCAGAGTATTAAGCTGATGCTTCTCGGGAAGCTGCTAACAGCACGGCAATGTGTTTGGACCGCTTTGGGACCCCTCCACTCCATTGCTTTCTTAAACGACACTCGCCTCACTGGAGAAGTCTACTCCACATCCTAACGGTGGATAGGTGCTTACCTCTGGTAGAAAAGCTGCTCTGACGACCCACTACAAAAGATGAGGTAAACACTTTGTCGCTAGCAGCCTGCTTTTCCCCGCACACTTTGAAGGTCAGAGCCCATACGACTCAGTTAATGGTTTGCGGAAGCCACGACAGGTTGCGCGATCATCAAAAAACATCCGAGATATATTCTGGATAAAACACCTGAGCCGATTCCGCGTTTGGACATATAGACAGATATAGACATTTATATGGAGATAGAGCCACCGATAGAGCTAAATCGAGACAGGGATAGGGACAAAGATAGAGCTGCAACATGCCACCAGCTTTGACCCGGGTGACATGAGAGGTCAGCGGGAGGCACGACACGCCACCCGCCATGCAGAGCCTAGGAACCACAGGTGTCCATCAGGATGTTTCGCACTGTCATCACATCCCGTTGGGTAATCATATCACGCATGTTATGCCAACCCAACGACAGAAAGACTGGGCGATACATGCTCGTGGTTATTGAGGTTGAAAACCATGCAGGCGCCGAAGTTCAATGTTTCTTTATTCCTCTGTTTTGTGCAGCTGACCAGTCATTCCAGACGATCAAAGAATACCGAATGAGGGGCAGTATCAGCGTCTCTATATGATTCTCGCAGTTTCTGCCAGAACGCGGCGTTGCATTCGGGCAAGCACACCCTGAATGCCGTAGCAGCGAAAGATGATGGCTTATATGTGATTTTCCCGACTGAGTGTGGTGATGATGGAGACATCCGGGAGCTTGACGCATTGTGTAGCCTTGATTTCGTCGTAGCCAAATGATACCGTTGGTTGTGAGCCGTTGAGACTTGTGTGAATACGACTGCCAACCCGTTTGCTCGCAACAGCGAGATCCGCGGTCCCCGCACGGCGTCAGGCTGCGTCCGGTCCCAGTCCGGTCCCAGTCTGGTCCCAGTAAGTGACAAGTTGTCATGCAGACTTGGGCAAGACGGCCATTGTCCCGCGCCTCCTGTAAGATCACGGCGGTAAAGAGGCGATTCGCCCACTGGGCAGCAGCCTGCCTCAACCACCGACCAGTATTACCATAGGGCTTTCGTGTGAGCGCTTCAAAATCGCTCCGAGGTGTGTAGAAGAGAGCGCTGGGTCTGGCGAACGTTCGGCTCCTACCTACGGACTGTTTGCCACTGACAGCAGGTTTGGTGCTCGAGTATCGTGGCCTGGCGAATGCGAGTGCTTGTGTATTTACCGGATCGATCCACTCTCCGTTTCTTTTAATTGTTTGACACGGAAATCTAATAGCAACGTGAGTTTTTCCCGCGTGAAGTTCCTGGGAACGAGCTACCACACAATGCTATACAACAATGTTGTTTTGGCACACGAACATTTTGTTGCGCGAGAAATCCATATGCTCACGGCAAATATCCTCGTTGCTATTAGCAACGGGCAAAGTTTCATTCACATCCGCGAAGCATTCGTGGGCAGCTGGCGGCAGTGCCAATGACCGTACAGAACTCCGCATCAGCATAAAAATAGCCACCTCATCTACTGCCAGGCCTGATGGGGGGAGGGGGAGGGGAAGGGCACCACACCCAGGGTCGTTAGAACGCGGCCGGCTGGACCGCCAGCATTTACCGCCGCACGCGGCCGCTGGGTCGGTGCAGCTGCGGCAGCCGACTGGCCCGGGCACCACAGACCACGCGGCCGTCCCCCGCCCCCCGACCGCGGACCGCGGGAGGGGGGGGGGGGCGGGTGAGGTCAGGCCCTCAGGCGTTGCCATGGCCGGGGCGGTCGAACATCGATCGCGGGACCGGCGGCGCGGCAGCCGCCGGTGGGCCGTCACCGGCCCACTCTCTGCGGCGTGACACGCGTGTCACGCGGCACCTGCGCCGTGACGTGCGTGACCCTGGGCCGCGCGACGCCCGCTCGTCTGCCGCGCTTGTCGCGGCGAGGTGCCGTCTGCCGCTCGCCGTGAGCTCGCCGGATCAGGCGCGGCATCGGGGAGGCAGGGCAGCCGCGGTGGCTGGCTCAGCGAACGCAACAAGTGTCGTAAACAGTCCGACTCGGTTGGCGTAAACAGATGATGGTTACGGTCTACCTACAACACAGATTGCTGATACGTCAGTTACATCTACGCATGCAAATGAACGTTGTTAAAGCCAATCGTGTTGGTGAAATAAACCTAAAAACAACATGGAATGTACACAAGACTTTCACGCTAAACAAACGTAGAAAGCTATAACATAAACGCTCGTAAGCCATGCGCTGAGCGAGCGTTAAAGTCAAGTAAAGGTAAAACCTAACGTTGCGAGAGTCACCTTTATTTTGAATCATGTATACTATTCGACAATATTTGATACAATTTTGGCTTGAATACGGCAACCGGTTTTGGGACAAGCAGGGATATCCTACGGCCTCGAAACTACGCGAGGCAAGAGTCGTGACAATAAAATCACAAAAGGAAACATGAAAAATGTAAAATAGATACATCCTAAATCGGTCAGGTTCTATCTTCAGAGAAATGGTTCAACGACAACCACATGGCTAAGCACCAGGTTTAAAAAGTCACTGCCGTACTCATTTGCAGTAGAAATCAGTTGTAATTCGAAGCACATGCAGGCAATCGGTGATGCAGTAGTTAGAATGGCGCGGAGGCCATGCAAAAACACAAGAACATCTACGGATGTACACAAACCTCCCATCGCCAGGAGCGCCGTCAAATATATGTGACGTCACATACGCGTATGATATGCATGACTAGATCGACCAAACCAGCAGCTAGTGATGCGAATGACATAAATCAGGTAAGCAGGGCTGGTTATGGGAGAAGATCAGCCGGATGTGCTGGCGTTAACATACAAGTTGGAGCGCGTTGTGCTGTGCATCTAAAATATCCGCAGTAAAAGACGATTTGGTGAAGAGGGAGAACATTTTCAGCGGGAGAACAGCTGTTTTCTTCGTTTTCGTTACGATCATCACTTCAATACGCTATCACCGTCATCTTGGCTTTGTCATCACACCATCACGTATCACCATAGCAAAGCCTTACAACAACAAATTCAACTCCCCAGTCATTTTTTTAGTCGGCCAACACAGACTACCATTTCTGATCAAATACCAGGCAAAGAATTGAGCGTGACCAACACGCCACGTACCTTTAAAAACAGGCTGCAACCGCCGCTGAGAACCGGACCAGACGAAAACTGGTCAGAATTCAAGCGTCTCCTCCACTCGAACTGTCCCACACGTCACTCGGCAGTGACCCCGGCGCCAGCGCAATCACGAGACCCTCCGCACACACTTCACACCAGCTGGACAATCCGCCACCCACGCGAGATCGGATCCCGGCACGGCCCGCAGGGGCAGGCGGCGCGCAGCGAGTAGCGGCGCTGGCTTGCCTGCCTCTGTTGCCTTCGATACTCACCGGCCGTATCGTCGGTGGGTGGTCAGCTGACTAACGTCTGACGTCATCGTTGGCCCGATACGCTCCGCCGCCAGCTAGAGCTGCAGAATTTGAGTAGTTTCCGGCCGGGCAGGTAGTGTTCTCATCTCATTCACAAAGAAACTGCGAGTAGGGCTAGACCCAAGCACGAGGAGAGAAGGAGCATGGGTTATCTGACATGTCCTAGGAAACAGTGGCGCAGTTAAGATGATTCATGGACTTTAACCTCCCTCCGTCAGATACTAGCGCAGTTTTCACCACTACTCCGTTGAATAAGATTCTGGAAACCGGTGAACAAACTATTTTGATTTTGGATCTCATAGACCCTACCACAGCAGAGACATTTAGAGCCCGACAGCCTTCGTTATGTCACAAGACTAGCGGATAATCGCGCGAATCTGCATGGCTCGCAGCTGAAATCATCCTTTTAGACAAAAGGTCAAACCAACATCGATAGTTCACTGATACGCAAGGTTGCCTACTTATTAGTGTTTGTGGGGCCCGTTAGGCCCTTCGGCACGGTGCGTAAGTACTGACAATGGGGCTGAGACTCGCTCATAAGACTTGTTCCCGTCGCAAATCATGGAAGGTCCCGTCGCAAATTCTGACTACGTCTCTACTAGAAGGTTCTCACACCCACTGTCGTCGGGTGAATCCAGCCGTTGTGTGGACGGTGATGAGGGTCCAGCCTCCCAAATGACTGTTGAGGAGGCTCCTGGTTGTTTTGAAGGGCACCGGATGTAGCTAAGCCTGGGTCCCGGCTGCGACGGATCCTGTGTATTTGACGTGTCCGGCTGTGGGAGGACTCTCGATGGGCTTGACCGAACGGATCCGGTTTCGTCGACGAGTTCGAATGAGGTAGATCCGTGACCTCACAATCTCAGACCATCGGGACCTGCTTTCTGCATTCTGCGCACAGCTTGCCATTGACTTATAAATGTCCCCAGAAGCGGACGGCGGGAAGTAATGAGTCCTTGGTGACGGGTTGCAGCCTTTTATTGGTCGCTTTGCGCTTCAGGCGAAACGGGTGAAATCAAACCTTCCTCTTGAAAGACATGAACGCCCAATAATAACTGTGCACGAAGGACCGTCTATCCAGACAAAGCTCACGGCTCTGAGTGAACTTCAGTGAGACGATCGATGCCATCGAGTGTGGGGAGAAGACTGATAACCAGACGCTATCACGTTCAAGTAATGACTCTAGCCGTCCAGTCATCTGTCTGGACCTGGACAGACAGGGGCCGAAGCCGCCGGTAGCACCGACGTACGCCGGGCCAGCCGGAGGACTGGCTCACGCACGGTACCCGCTGGTGGGGGCGCCGCGCCGCGCCGTTTATGATCTCATCCGCACTGGGCCAGTGTGCAGCGAGTCCCCACTTCTCTTCTGGTGGCTCCAGATGTGGAACTGAACGGTCATTATAAAATATTGAGGTTTCGAAGGATCTGAATGCGTTATCAACAAGATAATTCCAAAGTCCAAATTTTGTCCGAATCTGAGATGGTGGCATGTAAAATTAAGCTTTTAGTGGTTGGGTTGGCGTGGAATGACCCTGCGTCCCGGCCGGTGATAAAACGCTACTTAATTAATTGTGATAGACGGAACAATCCACATCTTCTACCACAGTCCTGATAATAACCTTTGTTTTGCTCGTGAGATGCTGAGAGTGAAGTAATCCACACTGGTTGTTATTCCGCAATAACTTTGCAATGAATCAAGCGGGAATAGTGGCATTTCCCCTACCTTCTTTTAGTTAAATAACGCGTTGACTGATTGTTGATTGTGTGCATCATCTAAGGTCACTGATCAAAGTCAGGTCAAAGCAAGGTCGTCAATTCTGGAATAGACAGAAAGAAAGAAAGTTTAATTTCCAGCGTAAAGATCGATAATTGTCACTGAAGTTCAGTACTGCATAAAAGTAAAGGTATATTTACCTGCGGCTAGCTTAACATTTCAGATCACAATGAAATCTATCCATCTAATCCCAAATAAATTTTGGTCACTGATCTTTTAACATCGCAAACCTGGATGCATACGATTGTACACATTGCGCTCTGCCATTCACGAAACGTATAAACTAATACCAGGTGAAGTCTGGTCAGGAGAGCAAAACACAGGCAGCAGCGCATCAATTTAACGTGCGGCTATTTTGGCTTATGAGGAATCTGCAAAATCAAGTGTTTTAAACTAGCTCAGGTTACCGTCGACTATCACAGAAAGTCACAGGGGATAAACTAAACGTCATCCAAGGTCAAATGTAAGAAATTAGCCTCAGGCCGGGAACCTTGACAGAAAATGGTTAATATGAGGACAGTAGTGCATGGGCCCAACTCAGAGTCCATAACCACACAAACCCATTTAAGTTTTTCGAAGTCAACCAAGGCCAACTGTCAGTATGTGATCTCAGGCCGGATAGCTTGGACGGAGATTGATCAAAACAAAGAGGATAGGCATAATACGGTTTGGTCGCACAAAAGAAAACACCTTTCAGAGGCATCGTCACTCAAGAAGAACACAGCCCTATCCAATGCCTGAAAAGGTGACTAAGATCACCAAGGCCACCATTCAGTTAGCATACCTAACTACGCATGGTCGCAACTACTGTACGTCATCTGGGTGTCCATCTCGGTAAGGCAAGAACATCAAAGTGCCTGCAATTATATAAGACTGTTCAAGATCACACGAGGCGAAAAGGGTCACTCAGATCATATAAAGTCATCTCACTGGGTCTTTCTCCCATGACATGCATAATGATTATTACAAAAATGTTGTTCCAAAAGCTGAGAAAAACTATTTAATATAAAACCTTTGAGGCTCAACTCTTCCATGACTCTGATCTCTGCCTTCAACTCTCACCCCTCATTTGGTTTTGTGTAATATCCTCTTTTAGATGGGTTCATTTTTTGCATGGAACATGGGCTAACCATGCTAGGATGATTTTGCTAGTTTTGATTCGTTTAGCCATCTCTGTCTTTAAACGGGAGCCAGGGCATAAGCCCCAGTATGTTTAGTCAGAATATCTATATTTTCGTCATTGTTGCAAGCTAATCGATATAATTTACATCACCCGCTCTTCAGGTTTTGCTCTGCTGCCGCTGACCTTTCTGAGCCTCACAGTATATCGTGATCTTTGTAGCTAAGTCATAACTTAATTTAAAGTATTCTTGTTTAACGCGTCATGCGGGTCCAAGTGTAACAAAGAATACGATTGTGTTGATTATTGCCTTGCCTTTATTTACTCGGTTTTTACTTGGTTGTTACTTCGGTTACCTCTTTGATGATTATTTCTACGTATTGTTTTCTTCTATACTGCTATCAAAGGTAGCATGTTGTACCTAGAATTGGAACTAGGTACCCCAGATTTGGCTTCCCTCCGAGGGCGAAATATGACTATGACTTATACTGTCTTCTGAAGAACCGATCTCGGAAGTCTCGCCTAAAATCACCTACTGCAGACATCTTTCACCTCTACTTGATGCGATAGCTCGTTAAGTATTTCCAGAGTATAACGGACGGTACACATGAATTTAACCGAATCTTACGGCTAATATCACCTTGAGACTTCGGGAATCCTGTTCAAAACAGGAACTGCAAGACGGAGCTTAAATTCTGGTGAAGACGATTTTCTTTGGAGCAACTTTCATACTCATCCGATTGACGATTCGTAAGACATGTCCAAAGGCTGAGAATCGGTCCTGTCCCAGTGTGGGTTAGACACCGCTAAGCCCGCGGATCCGGTCAGCTTTCGGGAAACGGCATGAAGCGTGTGCTGTAGATGTCAATGAAAGCAGTTTGTTCTGTATAGCGTTTCCAGCAAGGTTATAAGAATGTTGGTTTACGGTATGACCTTCAATACCCGCAATGATGCACTGCAATTGGCGAGCCCGGCGCTACCTGGGCCGCTGCGCCGATTGTGACCGCCTTGAAGGTTAATCTTCATCCCGCACAAATACCCCAAGATGTGACAGTTGTACCAGAAAAAAACAGCTGACAGTAGATAGCCATGGCTAATATCATCCACGAACCGTTAACTCGCCCTGTGTCACTCGACATATGACGTTGCAGGTCGCGTAGAATGCTACTCCAATGGCCAGGCGGTACATGCTACTCCGCGGATTTTCTGTGCGCATGTCGCATCGCGTTTGCCCTGGCGGTCATGGCCGGCGATCTCTGATTGGCCGGCCTGGCGGTCATGGCCGGCGATCTCTGATTGGCCGGGGACGTGCGAGAGCCCAGGACAGGTAACAGCGGCTGAACAGTGCAAGGTGTGCGGTCGCATCCGATGGACGCCAGAGACATCTAGTGGCATGAATGCGTTTACACGGTTGGCGTCGCATCGAGTGCCAGTAGTGGCAAACCATTGGAAGCAAAACGGACGGACACCTGGAATACGAAAACTGCTATTGAATCGCCCCGATTCATGAGTGTTGAGTTGTGAGCAGCAGGGTCTTCGTCCAGTTTCGGACAGATCTCGCATAACCAAGACCTGCTTTTGGTTGACATCTCCGAGAGCACTTCAAGTAAAAAAAATCCGAAAAGGCAGCTTTGCAGCATTATTATAAGCGCTATCAGCCATGGGTACCGAACGAGCAGTGGTTATGCTGCGCGTCTGGGAAACCAGAGGTACGAGGTTTGATTCCTCGCGGTGCCCACCCTACCTGCCAGAGGGAGAGGCAGGCGGCACCATAAAGTCTCAACGGGTTAGTGCGTTGTCAAAAACCATTGACACTTACAAAGATATTCTGATAAGCTTGGAAATCCTAAGTACGCACAATAATGATCTTATGATTTTTAAATGACACGAAAGAAGAAAATGGCATATTCTCGTCATCACTTGCAAAAATGTGCTCAAATTGTCAACGTCTCAATGCAGTTCAGACCAAGATTAGACCAGGTCGAGGGCAGGTCAGTTTTTATAAAAAATTGTAGCTGGCAAATGACATAAGCCATGC